TTTTCCATTGATATATACTCATGATCAAATTTTATCATATGTCACATTCATTGAATAAATACTCATGACATATCTCATATCCTCTTGTCATGTTAGATCTTTAAATATAGAACGTTAGATCTTAACATAGCATCAGAGCTAAGCTTGATTGTGATTTCACTATTTGTTTAACGCTTATGATTAAAGATAACTTGTTAGTTGTTAAGAGCATGTTTGACCCAATTTGGCTTGAGGGGCATGTTAAAGTATTTGTCTCACTTACACTAGAAAGCTATAAAACATTTTATTAAAAAATAGGTGTCTGAGTTACGTTACTCCTATCAGATTGACCTTTTATGATGTAAATTCAGAACTTAACAAATATTCAATTAAAAATAATAAAATATACAAAAAGACTTAGTTTTAGATATGAAACTAGAAAATTAAAATATTTGAATACTAAATAAATTAAAATAAATATATGCCAATATGCCATGCTATGCCCTAACTCACACCAATTTTTTTTAAAAAAAATTATTACTAATGTAAGAAAGATAATCATATCAGAATTACCTGACGGGATTTTTGTTCAGTAGTTCTTATTTTTAGTCCAAAAATAAAGTTTTTGGTCCAATTTTTTTATGAATTAGAGTTCACTGTTAGGTTTAACTGATAGATTATCTTAATGTTATTTGCAATGTTTAATAAACCTACCCGGCCAGGTCAACTCAGACTAAAACCTGCTTCGGGTAATTAAAAACCCGGAAATGGTCAAAAACCGGAAAAATCCAACCGAATCGGAAAAACCCGGTCCAAACCTATACCCGAAAATCCCGACAACTCTAGAAAACCTGCAATTGGTTGTTTTTTCGTTTGTTTTTTAAATTTTAAAATATTTTTAACCAATAAATTTGCAATTTCAATACACTAAAAAGAAAACAATATGTAATATATTTATATACTACTTATTTATTAAAGAATAAAAATCATGTCAAATTATATAATAAATGTCTAACAAAAATTAAAAATATGGAGTATCTTTATATATTTAAATAAGATCAAAATGTTATTTTGGAATATATGAGACTTTTTTAACTTTTATGTGTTTAGTAAGTATTATTATTAGTTGATTTTTTTATCATCAAAATGGCTTTTCATTACAGATTTGGTCGTAAGCCCTAGGAATAGACTTAGAGTCAGCTATCCATGCAAAGCAACCTGACACGCTAGACACAAACGGGCAAGAAGAAGCCTAAAACAACCGAAAATGAAGCATTGCCTATCAAAAGTTCTTCAAAAATCAAAATACTCCAACCATACTTGCTCGAAATGAAATAAAAATAAGTACTACGAAAGGAAAAATAATACTAAAATAAAAACATTCCCCAAATTGCTTCCTCGCACGGAGGTGGTTCCGGAGGAGGGTGAGCTGTTGTAGTATGGTAGAAGAGAATTTCAACCCCGAGAAAATTCGTCTGAAACCTTGTCCTTCTTGCGCTCGCTAATTTACTCTTGCCAATTTGCTTCTTGAGATTTGACATTGAAATCCATGCCCGAGGTGTAGAAGAAAACTGTATCGTGTTGTCTTGTGTTTCTTCGCCCACAAAAATCCAAACTGCACCCCACCGCCCTTGCGTTCCACTCACGTTCTGAAACTCCCAAGCCGCACGAGCGAAGCTCGGCGGAACAAAAAACCCTAACTATGTAGAGAGAAGGCCGCTCTTTGACAATATCGATAGCAGAGAGGAAACCCTAGCGGCGGCGAATCACCCTAGAGAGAGAGTATTTGATCGGATTCTTAGAGAGCTGTCTGATTATTAGTTGATTATTATGAAATACCAACTTTTGTTTTAATTTTGTATACAATTATATACTATCATCTGTATCATAATAGTTGTAACATTAGAATTTACACACTATTCATGTACTCTACTTTGACTACATTTTATTTATTAATGTATGTCAATTATTTTTTAAAAAAATATTGTTGAATTCGTCTCATTACAAAGTTTCATAATCTGATTTTTAAAGGTTTTTTACTAATAGAGGATTAAATATAATGACAGTCAAAGTTGTGCATTGGCAAACGTGAAAAAGGGGACGTTGCAACTAAAAAAGAACGGAAGAAGTATTTATTATTGTTTAATGGTTGACTGGATTTATAGCGTTAACCGGGTTGACTTGTGACCCAGTCACGCGACCGGATCACTTCCCAGTCTGACTTCTTAAGCATAGGTTATTTGAAGGCAGTCTTTTTATTTTACGGTTTATATGATTTATCATAAAAATCATATTAATATAGTCAACTCTGAGAAAACAATTGGATCGTAAACTTTGTTTTTGGCCTAAAATGAAGAACTATCTAACTGAAATGGGAGATTTCAACAAGTAGGACTTAATCATACTAATTTTCTAAAATTAAGACTATAGATTAGCCTAAAACTTAAGTACACCTGCTTTGACCAAATTGCCCTTCCTTTAAATCCCATGCACCCAAATAAACTCTAGGTCTCCATCGATCGATGCCCTGCTCGCACTTCAGACCCATTCCCCTGCGCACTTCGACTTCAGACCCATCACCACCGCCGCTGATCGACTTCACCGTCGCCGACGCACCAGCTCCATCGGCCGCCGCCGCCAGAGGTTTCTTCTTCTTCCTCCTCCCTCCTCCTCCTCCTCCTAGTCTTCTTCTTCTTCTTCTTCTTCCTCTTCTTCTCTTCTGATTTTGGACATTGATTTTGCCAATTTCGAACTTCTATTTCATAATTTCACAAGGCCACCAGGTACTCTGCAAAACTTGTGAAGAAACCAGATCCAAAATCAAACTTGCAAACACTAGACAATACATAGACAGTAAGTAGTCAGTAAACAGACATTAAGTTCTAATAATAGCTCAATAGCAGACAATAAATAGACGATAAGTAGTCATTAAACAGACTATGAATAGAGACTATATATACTCTGTATATCATATGAAGAGATTCTGGTTATGAGAAAATGCGCCTGGTTTTGCTCTGTTATGATGATTACACAGGGAAAAAAACTTTCTTCTCTGTCAAGCTTGCGAAATCAATACTGAGATCAAATGAATAAATTCATACAATGAAGAAAAGAATGAGGATTGGCAGTTGGAGATAGTTCGAATGAAATTTTAGAGAGAGAAGATGGTGGGGAGTTGTTTGACTTATTTCTTGAGAGACGAAGAAAAGTGGAAGATGGTGAAAAGGTCGTTGCTGGATAGATCTCTCTACGGAAAGTTTTCATTATAAAGTGGAAGGGTAAAATCGGAAATTAAAAACAAGCTTTCCTAAAACAGATGTAAATCAATCTTATGGATGGAAGAAAACTAAGTATTCCCTCCGTCCCAATTTGATTTGCAAAGTTAACATTTTTTTGTCAACCAATATTAAAAGTCAATGCTCCCTATCGATAATTAATTCAATTTTTAAGAATTAAAATTTACAGTAAATATTCAGAAACTTCATTAAAATATCTTCAAAGTTACAAACTTCAAATTAGAATATAATTAAAAATTGGCATTTTAATTAAGCGAATAAAATGAAACTGTTTGACCAAGAAAAGTCAAATTTGCAACTCAATTTGGGACGAAGATAGTAAGTCCTACTTTTATAAACTTTGTCTGTTTTGGTCTTACCCGCAGCAATTTTCTCAACTGAAATCCCGTCAAGTAGTTCGATCATTGCTCACGAAGTCACTTATATGTATGTAAATAAAGTGTTAAAATGGTTAGTCGGATAAATAATAGTACTTCGTATTAAGAGTTCTCCCACGTTTGATTTGTACCAATTGCCAAATTTAAAAAAAAATGCGAGTGAAACATAAAATGAAGATCTGAAAACCTTTGGAGGACATGAAGAACATTTTGATCAGAAAGGTGGTGTAGTAAAATATTGGAAGAAAAACAAGAATCTGATTCCCACCTGTAAAGGTAATCGGATACAAAGGATTCCAATATATTTCCAGTTCGTATCATCAGACACAAATAGATCTTTCTTTTAATAGACGGTAGGTTTATGAAGCAGGCCGTACGGATTCCTCAAATTATCTTTGGGAATGAGAGTACCATTTGCATTTATCTATGATGTCATGGCTGTGTCGTTCTTAATTACTAGGGTTGCTTGCTACTCTTCTTCTTGCACCGGCTAGCTAGGGCAATCTGATATCCTACCTTCCTTTTCCAGGTTATGTTATTTTGTAAATTATGTTTCCATCACGGTAACTTTTTATGCTTCCATCACTGTAACTTTTTCATGCAAAAGTTTGCTCGTATTAGGTTTAAGTATGGGTTTGTCTGATACAACTTAACCATGGGTACATACATTATTGTTATTATCATAAAAAAAATCCCATCATTGGTTTGAGTATGTGTGTTTAACATTTAGCAGTTAGTAAATTATCGATAATGGATTTGACTTGCGAAATAAGTTGGTGGGTTATCAGAAGATGTTGAGAGAATTCCCTGAATGAGAGTAAAAACGTTTTGAAATTCCAAAATAGGACTATCATGTTTTTTATTCTCTGAATAGGAATAAATTTCTGCCAAGTTTGGCATTACTAGGCTTTAAACATGACAGACAGTCCTATTTTGGAATTTCAAAACGGTACGTTTTTACTCCTATTTAGGGCAATTTCTGAAAGATGTTTGATAATTTAGCTATTTGGCCATAAAATTAATAGAAAATGTCATATTTCAAAGCTCTCTTATTTGCACCGTTTGCATTTCAGCGTTTACGTTCAAAAACGCTAGTACCGAACAACTATTTACCAAACAACTTTTTTCACTTAATGAAAACGCTAAAAGTGGTTAAACCACCATTTTTCAGCCGAAACGTCATTTACCAAACACCCTCTTTGTCTATTTTTTTTGTACTACGTAATTGTTATCATCCAAACACATAAACGAATTAAATGCACAAAAAGAAATACTATCGTAGAAAGCCTTTATTTACTACGAGTATATACGAAGTATGTATTGTCAATTCAAAACAAATTAACAGTTTTTAATGATCATTCATCCCACTGAAATCCCATCATCTGAATATACATAGCATAATAATAATAGTAGCAATAATAACAATACTAATAATAATAATGATAATATAATAAATTAATATTCATAAGTAACACATAAACCAAAGAACTGATCTGATAAATCGGGAATTCAGCTGCCATGCAATCCCCACCCATACCCTATGAAATCTTGTGATTCTACTTCTCTTCTGGATGATAAAATTGGCAGGTACTCAGTAATGGTAATAGTACCTCATCATCTCCGTCTCATCTATCCTGGAATCTATCTTCCTTACATTTTCAAGACAATCATTGTTAAAACTAATGCAACTATTCCCAAAATACCCCTCACTGTTTGGAAGCTGATAATGATGATGGTCAACACTAGCACTAGCAGCTCCTGCATACTGTAGCAAGACCTTGTGGCCCTGGCTGAGCTGACCCTCTTCAAACCCACAGCTACTATTATTATTATTCCCAAACTGCCCATATGTGGGCTCTAAACAAGTGTTGAGTAGCTTTTGCTGGTTGTGATCACCATCAGCTTCTTCTTCCTTGATATCTGGTTTGGTTCCACTATAAGATGAAGAACCACAAGCCTCACTAGTTCCCCCAAATGTGGCAAGATTGATATCACTACTGTTAATTTCACTACCAAAGTGAGTGAGATTAAAGAAACCCTGATGGTCATGGCTTTGGAAACTGCTACAAGAGTAGGGTTGATCTGAAAAGCCAGAAAATGAACTGTTTTGAGGGGTATTTGTGTAAAAGGTGAGTTCTTGGGGGGCTGAGGGTGCTTGAAGAGCAGTAGGTGTAGTTGAAGAAGAAGAAGACTGAAAGAGTAGTGAAGATGAAGTTGATTTCTGCTGATTTGAAGAAGCTTGGTTATTATTTGTGTTATTATTACTGAGCATAACATTAATGAGTTTCTTCTTGAGCTTGGTGTTCCAGTAGTTCTTGATATCATTATCTGTCCTTCCTGGTAATTGAGCAGCTATTACTGACCACCTGCAGCATGCCATTCACATTTTTAATCATTTCCTAAGTTTATCCATATCAAGACTATACTAAAATATATGGGGTTTTAAGTTTTAACTTCCTGTTAAAAGTTCCAAAATATTGTATTTATAAATGTGTGTTTTTTTATAAAATGAATACAGGAAGCTAAGCTACTAGACTATTAAATGCTTCCATTGCAAAAAAAACACTTAGATTCATAAGCTAAGGAAGAATATACTTCACCAATGTTTCACTATTGACATGGAAAATAGATTCTCTTTCTTTGCTTCTTTCCCTTTATAGTGGAAACACAGGGAGAATGGAAGCTAGTACAGTAGTACCCATAGATCCATCCAGTCCAAAGATAGATCTACACACATATATAGACTTATACAATATACCTGCTTCCAATGGTAGCATAAATGGAGCAAATGATTCTATCTTCTTCATCAGAGAATTCACCATGCTTTATGTTTGGCCTAAGATAGTTTAGCCATCTCAATCTGCAGCTCTTTCCACATCTCTTTAACCCTGAAAACAAAGTTCACCTTAGCTTGAATACATCATCAAAATAACTTCTTTGTAAATAAAAAGAAGTTAGCTTCTTCATATCATGCAAGTGATTTTTGAAAATAAATCCAAGAAAATGGAGAGAAAGAGAAAAAGGTACCAGCTTTATGAGGGAGAGCAATCCAGTTTCCACCAGTGCCAAACTTGTGGATGAAGTCCTTGAGCTTGGCGTCTTCTTCAGGTGACCATGGCCCTTTCTTCACATTTGCTTTATCACAGCAAGGAGCTCTCCCCATAAGTGCTAGATCTCAAGCTAGTTTTGAGTTTTGCCTTTCCCCTTCTTTAATGCAGTGAGGAATAGGGAAAGCTAATAATAACTTGTGAGAGTCTGTGCTGTGTTATGTGTAAGTGACGCCAGCTTATATAGATGGATTGATAGGGAGATAGAAGAATGAATTAATAATGACCCTTTTGCAAATCCTAGAAGACCGAACTTGTTTGAGATTACGTCAGAAAGTATTTCATCTCTCAATCACTTTACTATTCATGGACTTAATGTATTTGGTTTTTTAAATTTAAGTAACACATTTTTATTAAAATTTGAATTCGGTTTATTCCATTCAATAGGGTTTTACATAGAGGTCTTCTAAATTAAAACATTACTTTGTAGTAAAATAAATTTATGGATGAAAATGTACTTCATACTCTTATTACGAGAACGTCATTATTATAGTTATTACTATGGAATGTTGAACATATTCACATAAATCACCAACAATTCATTGTTTGGTCACTTGATTAAAAAGTCGTATATTTGTTTGACACTTGCAATAAAACACTTGCAATAAAAAAGTGAAAAACACTTTGGTTGAGGTCGTGGAGAACCGCAGATTGAGAGATTAACAATTAACAATAACGAAAATAACAAAAATAAATGCATCACTTCAAAAGGAATGTGGTGAAAAAGTTATAGTCAACTATGAAAACGGGCAAAATTGAGAGGGAGAGTATTATGTTTTTTTATATGTAGTTTAATATCAATATTATATGATTTATTGTCTTAAATTTGGTATGATATATTTACATCTAATCAAATGATTCAAGTCAACTACTTTGAGATGAAAAAGTAAGAGGACGTTTAGTAGCATTATGCATAATTACAATGCATAATTTTACATCGTATATAAATGCATGCGGATTTTTTTTATTAATGTAAGTCTAACACGCTTTAGAACATTTTGCATTGTATGATCTAAAATATTTTATGTGAAGGTAGTACTTATAAAATAAATTACAAAATCTAATCAAATAATATATTCTTAGTTAATAGGTACGTATATAAAATGATTGTTTTCGTAAGCTTTGTGTGCAACAGTGCAATCATTGTATTTGTAAAATTTAATGTGCAAATTATCAAGAGTACTAACAATAAAACAAACTATTACTCAAGAACAAATTTGGGACCAATGTAGTTTAGAACGTTTTTAATTAAATTAGGGAAAGTTCCTGAAATGGGACCAAAAACGTTTGTAAATTCCAAAGTAAGACTGTCATGTTTTTATTCCCAAAATAGGAGTAATTACTATCAAGTTTGGAAAATAATGTCATGTTTAAAGTCTGGTACTGCCAAAACATGACAGTAATTACTCCCGTTTTGGGAATTAAAAATATGGCAGTCCCATTTTGGAATTTATAAACGTTTTTAGTTCTCTTTAGGATAAATTCTCATTAAATTACAATATTTTTATCCAGTGTGGTTTGTTTAAATCTGAAATGTTTAAATTTATTATGGTCTGATAGACTTCTAGTGTATGTATGCTTTACTATTGTCCAAGTCTTACCTTATTTGCTTGATGTCACATGTGGTGTCTTTAAATTTGATCTAGTCTAATTTGATTTATTTGAGAGTGAAACCATTTCAATTAAAATATCCTTAATAATTACGGTTGAATAAACTTTTACTCCGTATTAACTGTCTAGAACTTTTACTTCCTCCCTCTCAATGTCGTGTTCACTTTTAGTATACACTATACATATATACTGATTTATACTCCGTATTTATTAGGAATGTCAGTTTGTTGTTGTTGAACTTCGATTCTTTTTACTAATAATTTATTCGTGTGTATACTTGTATGCTCATAAAGTGAGTTTTTTTTCTAATTAATGTTAATTAATTAATTAATTACGAAGTTAGGGCTGAGTTAAAAGTATTTACCAAAATACTGCTGGATTAACCATGGTCGGGGTAAGTCGCCCAACGGTTGGGCGACTTATAAGTCGCCAAACGGTTTGGCGACTTATAAGTCGCCCAACCGTTGGGCGACTTACCTATTAAATAGGCAGACGGGTTGGCTCGCAGACAGAACGCGTTTATTCCCCCAAATCCCCCCAAACCTCTGCTGCAGCGACGACGGACGAGCGACGAGCGACGAAGGACGACCCATCTCCAGCTCCGGCGAGCCTCCTTCTCCGTCAACCCCATTCCGGCGAACCTCCTTCTCCATCTTCATCTCTCTTTCTTCTTTCTTCTAGGTAAATCAAAATCCATTTCATCTCATTTTGAACCTAGGGTTTTGAATGTTAAAAATTTCGAATTTTTGTATTATGAATTGATTGTGAATTCAGTTGTTGTGAAATGTGGATATGTATGAAATGTTGAAATTTGATTTTAAATTGATTGTAAATTTTAATGTGTATTTTGACATTTGGGCATTTGGATAGACTTGATTTTAGCTAAATTTGGATATTGAAATGTAGACGTACTTGAATGTAGTTATCAAAATTTGGGTAGTTTCATATTGAGATGTGAATTGTTGGTCAATTTCGACTTTTGAATATATTACAATTTTGGTAGCTTTTTTATTTAGGAAATTTGAATGTGTATAAAGTGTGTATATTGATGCGTACTCAATTGAATTTTGGACAATGAATTGTTATTAGAATATGGATTTCTCAAGCTTCCCAATCGTGTGTCATTGGGGAGGGAACTATTATGAGGATGCTGGGCAAATATGCCATGAAGGTGGCAGAACGAGCTTTGTCATGGTTTCTCGTGGCGCTTGCATGGTCGAGATCCTTCAAAAAATACATGCAGCGACAATGATTCATCCCGGCCGTTCATTGCGGTTGAAAATGAAATTTCCCATGAACGGGGGAAAGTACATGCTTATGCCGCTCATTGATGAGCTAGCTATAACAAATATGTGGGGCATAATTCAGATGGAGGATATGTCGTCGCTGGAGGTATACATTGAGGAATGCTTTGACGCTAATGCTACTCAATCGACATCAAATGCTGGTGTATCTAGGCATGATGTCATTGCAGGGGTGAATGCAGGGAAGTCGTCAAAGGTTCCTGTACTAGACATGGTTATACAGGAGGATGGCAGGTATTTGCACAACGGTGCATCATTTGTGGATGGGCAGGGAAGTGATGATGATGCAGACGAGAACATCAATGGTGACGACATGACAGAATCTGATGAAGATGATGGTGATACTGTGACATCAACTGCCCCGTCTAGCCACTTCACTAGAATGTATGATCTCCCTGAAGGTTTTACTGATGCGTGGATGAGTGGATCAGGTGAGAAAAGGTTTACCCCCGATGGTGAGTTTGAGGTCGGTCAACAGTTTGACAACAAAGAACAAGTCATCAATATGGTGAGCTTGTATTCTATCAAACGGAACCAATTCTATCGGGTGATAGAGTCCGACAAACACAAATGGGTGGCACAATGCAAAAGGAAGAAAGAATGTCAATGCCCCTGGAGAATACGCGCCACAAAGAATAAAGGCAACCTTGACACCTTCACAATTGTGCGTTATTCTGGACCTCATTCTGCTTCTTGTGTAGGCAACATCGACACTACAGATCACGTGGCCTTGACATCAGAATTCATCTGTAAAGATGTGGTTGACATTATTCGCACTGATCCTTCTCTTAAAGTGCATACTATCATCGAGATGTTGAAGGAAAAATATGGGTATACGGTATCTTACCGGAGAACATGGATGGGGAAGCAAAAGGCCATAGCACAAATATTTGGCGGTTGGGAAAAGTCATATTTCGAATTGCCCCGTTTCATGACAGCGCTCCAACATTCTAATCCAGGAACTGTTGTTCAGTGGTACCCACCCCCCAATGGTGCGACAGGTTATATGATGTTTCAAAGAGTTTTTTGGGCATTCAAGGCATCAATATCTGGTTTTAAGCATTGTCGACCCGTACTTACTATTGATGGCACACACATGTATGGAAAGTACAAGGGCACATTGCTCGTGGCCATGAGTTGTGATGCGAACAACCAAATTTTCCCAGTCGCCTTTGCAGTTGTTGAATCCGAGAATGGAGACAGTTGGCCATGGTTTATGGCATGTATTAGGCATTTTGTGACTAACAGGGAGTTGTGTGTCATTTCAGATAGACATGGAGGTATTGTTAGGGCAATGAATGAGGTTGGAAGTAATTGGGAGGAGCCTTATGCGCATCATAGGCTATGCATCCGTCATCTTGCTTCAAATGTGCACACTCATTTCAAAGACATTCATTTAAAAAATCTATTTGTGTGGACCGCACGGCAACATCAGAAAAAAAAATTTGATGGTGGGTTCAAGAAGATAGGTGAAATGAGTAGGGATGCACGACAATTTTTGGCCAACATTCCTCCAGAAATGTGGTCGCTGCACCATGATGGCGGGTACAGATACGGTACCATCACTTCAAATCTGGCTGAGGTTTTCAATAGCGTGATGAAAAATGCTAGATATTTGCCCATTACCGCCTTGGTCCAGGTGTCTTTTTACCGGGTTAATGCGTACTTTGTGAATAGGCGTGAAACTAGTAAGTTGAGGCTCACACAAGGCCACGAGTACTCCCCATACATCACAGATTTAATTGAAAAAAATAGAGAGAAGGCAAAGCATCACATTGTCACTCCTTTTGATTTAGGGCGAGGTATATTTCAGGTGGAGACCGGTTGTGGTGGCAGAACGTTGGGAAAGGGTGGGAGAAAACAAACTGTCCATCTACAACGGAAAACGTGCACTTGCAAAAAGATGGAGATATACAAGATTCCTTGCTCCCATGTATTAGCCGTGTGTAGACAACGTAGTTTGTCTTATGCTCCATTTGTGGATAAGTTCTTCTCTTCTGACCAATACGCCGCCACGTATCATAGGGTGTTCAAACCGATTCCTGATCGTGATTATTGGCCAAATTACAATGGACCCGAAATCGTGCATGATCCATCCATGCTTCGGGCGAAGGGAAGACCAAAGTCGACCCGTATTAAGAATGAGATGGATGAAGGCCCACGAGGAACGGTTAGATGTGGAAGATGCCACCAAACCGGCCATAATAGAGCGACATGTGCAAAGAGATCATCTAGACAAGCGGGGGGGTCCGCTGGGTATGTGTATATTTCGAGTCAATCATAATTCATTATTTCCTTGCATGGAAAATTAATAAATTCA